TATTTAGCTTTTATTTTTGAGATACAGTTTAGCATCCTGTGATGAAAAAAAATAAAAAGAATCCTTTGATGAGTCTAGCCAGATAATAGCACCACCAGGAGATAGAGGATAGATTTCCATCTCCTACCAGTTTAGCCTTCAGTGCTGATGACCACAGAAAGACTTCTTGCCCAATAGACAAGCATGTCTCATTTACACAGTAACAAAATGCTTGTGTAGACAAAGCCAGTAGATGTAGATCAGGTTTTTAAAGTCAGGACTGAACAGTTTCTTACTTCGTTAAAGCTGCTAGGACTTAAAATTCTGATATATAATTCTCTATTATACTTTCCCCTAAGGGAGGTCCCTTGGGCAGGGAAGGAGCCGCCCAGACTCCCTTCCAGTGGGAAAAGCAGCCACCCCAACCAGTTCCCTCCAGTTTTCTGCACCGAGGGTGCATGCTCCAGTTTCTCCCAGTCTTGTCCTGACCCACCCCAATAAATACTCTTGAAACTTATTACATGTAATTAAATCGACTAATTAAAAAAGATTCCTTTGCAACATTCAAAATGTAATACATAAAACCAAAAATCTCATCAGCTATCTAAACAATAAGGTTTTCCCTGAATGTCCTAGTGTGTTGGTAATCTTTCAATATCTGTAGTTTTTTTAGTACAATTTTTAACATATACCTAGCTGCCTATCAGCTGGTTTAAAAAAAACAAAAAGAAGGGGAGGAGACCCAAGATGGAATTGGTGGAGCAGCTGCAGCCCCTTTGGGTGATTGTTACAAACAGATCAGCAGGCAGACATGAAAATCAGGGTGCACTTTTTGATGTATTGGCCGTGTTGGATTGTAGTAAGCCTTTTTTTTTTAAGTTTTAGGTTTATAACTACAAACAAACTAGTCAGAATTCTCCCTAGTGCATATCATTTAGTGTTCATTTTTATGTAAATCATTAACAGTTTGTTTTGTTTTGTTTTGTTTTTGTAACACTGAGGTTACTCTAACAACATAAAATTAAACCAGTGAGAGTCAGAAGAGGGAGAGGAGCTGTAGACTGGCAGGTGGGATCTTGGTCTATTTCTCCCCGTGTTCCAACACCAGTTGGAGGCCTTGTCTCTCCACACTCTGAAGTAGGTTTAGAAAAGTACAGAGAAAAGCCAACTATTTTTGCTTGATGTCTTGTTTTTTTAAAAAGTCTCGATTTTGTAAAATCCATCTTAAAAGTGCTATTTTAGGAATAGATATCAAGTTATTTATAACCTTGTGAGCATTGTGCATTTTTTAAGGTCTCCCTTGTGTACTTTTGAAAAGAGATTAAAAAGAGAGAGAACATACAAGGCAGAATCCTTTTCAGTTCTCTAAAATCCAATCACACAATGTGTCCACCCCGGGAACGAGCCTCATGGGCCCATTTCCCAGGGTTCTGTAGCAGCCAGAAGGGACAGAGCTGCTGATTTTCCCTTCTGTCATTACAAGAACCGGCGCTCCTGTTCCCACATGCAGAATCTGCTTCCAGCATTTGGGGAACTTCCAAAAGTATGCACGCTTGCTCGCCTCTTTCACAACAGGAAGGTAGAAAGGAAGAAAAAGTCATACACAAGGAGCTGGATTTTACTCAAAGTCACCTCCAAGATATTTACATCTGGAGACGAGCAATGTCGGGATAGAGAGCGATTTCTTTGTAAACAACTCCTAAACCGGGTGTGGTGGAGCACACCTGTAATCCCAGCACTCAGGAGGCTGAGGCAGGAGGATTGTTGTGAGTTCAAGACCAGCCTGGACTACATAGCAAGTTCCAGGTCGGTCTCAACTACACAGTGAGACCCTGTCTCAAAGCAAACAAACAAATAAAAAACAGGAAACACCCCCCCAAAAAACTGGGGGGTTAGAAACTTTGCAGTGCCTTTTTGTCCAGAGTAATATCCTAGACTGACAAGCTACGCAAACCGTAGCAGGCAGCTAGAGAGGTGCTGCGCCCGGGATAGGATGGACCAGGCTTTCGTCAGATAGGCTGGTGCCTAAGGTCAAGGCGACAGTGAAGCCCAGGGACGGGAGGACACAGCAAACGAGGTGATGGATGGCCGCTCTGCAACTCCTGCCCCTACCTCACTGGCAAGCATTTTTTCTTCTCATTTTGTTCTTTTAATGAACCACACGGTTAGGATGGCCTCCAAAGGCACTTCAAACCTACACTGGCTATGGCCTCGACTCGTCAGAGGCCCCTTTGTACTTGCAGTAAGCTGGCTTTAGTCCCTAGGTCGGCCTTGGTTGGACTCGCGGTGGTTTGGGCCCTGGTTAGTTTTTGGTGTAAAAACCCCCAGTCAGAGTCGCCTTGGCGAACCCCTTTTGGGTCCCCTCCCACCCATTATTCCCTCTTAGTGAACATTCCTCCTGTCCACCTCCTTTATCCTCGAATTCAGTCTTCGACTTCCTAGGACAATGCCGCCGTAGCACAAACTACAAACTGCGTGCCGGCTTAGACGGGGAAATGAACACGAGCCCGAGATTATTACAAGACATAAATGAGTAGATTGGCTCGGCACACACGCACAGGGGCACCGCTGGTCAGGTCGGACGTGGGCACGGCCGACCACCCGCAAGCCGGGCATCAGCACAGCCCAGGGCACAGTCTACAGCCTCACCGCGTCCCTAAGACCCGTCGGAATTGTTCTGAGTTTCCTAGCAGTGAAGAAGGCCTTGTAACCTTTTTTGTGTCCTGAAGCTTCAGTTTTTCATAAGTCTTATTCTAAACTTATGATTTCCCTTGTCTCTTTTCTATTTTTCTTTCTTTCACCCTACCTCACCAGGAGATGGTTGTGAGGTAGGGAAGGTCAGGCACAGACCCCACTGAGGGGACAGGGGTTGTGGCGGGGGAGTGCGGCTGGGAGGGTGGGGT